TGTGTTTGAGTAGCGGTAGTGATGCCCCTCCCCTCCGATGATACAGTAAGATGGTGGTTGTGAAACATGTTGGGCATTACATACTATATGCAGTCACTTACACATGTGTGCACAGGTGCAAATGGTCTTGCTTTTGCAGGTACATGAGCAAAAGCCCAGGGGGAAGGATCTGGAGATCAGTCTGCAGAAGGGAAAGTGCTGCTGCACTTGGCTGTTAGTCTGAGAGGTCTGGCTTCTGCAGACTCCTCTGCCGAGCTTTGCTCTTCTAGCTGCTCCCCAGGCAGCCCCTGGAAATTGGCTTTCCCCTTTCTTCTCCTGACTGACGGGTTTTTAAGCTTCTTTTTTTGTTTGTGCTTCCCAGCCAGCAAAGTAAGACAGACTGGAGGATCCTCCAACCTAGTAGTCTTTTGGGTATGTATGAACTATTCTTATCTGGGGGTCCTGGTGTAGCTTCCTGCTTGTTCTTCCAGCAGTCCACATTAAACAGGCTAGGTGTAGAATAAATACTTCATCTTCCTTATTAAGGTAAGCAGACTTCAAGTAGATTACTTTCCTTTATTTATCATATAGTCACATCTCACCCGTCCCATTGCTGATGAATATTAGTCAGTCACGTGGGCTAAGCAGGTTTCTTTGTAACATCACGAGGGAATTTAAGAAACTGTAACTTCATGCAACTTCTTTGTAAATTCATGTGTTCTTCCACATTGGACTCTTGGGTTGCTGGAAGGAAAGAATAATATTAAAGCCTATTTGTGGCCTGAAACCTGCTCAGGTAACACCTGAAGTGATTCTTCAGGCATCTATGTAAGTGTATAGAAATGTATGTAGCTATTATTAACATGGTCATGAGAGATGCTGATAATATCAGTGAGAATTCAGTCCAGCTCTCTGGCATTAACAAAATGTGCCTGGTTGCTAAAGAGAAAGTTCCACCTTACGTAGGCTTATTTTATGCAGTGTGAGTGCAAGTCTCACACGCTTCCTTTCGTTAAACTATGACATGTGGAATTTAACAGTCCAAGAGTGAAAGAACATTTCCAACCTGTAAGGAACTGTTATCTTAGTATGTTTCAGCATCTTCCATTTAATCTGCTTTTACATTCCTTTAGAGATTTTGGTCATTGATTTTATGTTAAGGGATGTATGTTCAAAAACACTGTAATTTAATGTGACAATTAATATTTGTCAAGTGCTTAGAACATACAAAGTGTTGTATAAGTGAAAATTATTAGTAAGGGCAATGAAATCAACAGTGTATGTTAATTATTGTAGAAATGTCCTTCCTCTAGCAGTTGAACGTGAGAGGGAGTCAGAGGGGAGAACTGAACAGCTCTGGTCCTTATAGGAATGTAGGTTTTTGCAGGCAGTGCTAGTTTTGGAAACTTACATAATCATACACATAAAACTGTCATTCACTATAATCCCCAGAGCGCGTCTCTGAGGCTAACCTGTGCAATCGTATTAGCAGGTTGCCCCTCTCACGGAAGTTTCCGAGGTTCACAGCAAAAAGTAATGCTGACTTCCTTTAGTACTGATATTAAAAATTTATTTAGCCTAAGGATATCAAACAGAAATTGAAGATGGTAAATAATAGGTACAGCTTGACATCAAGACAGACTTAGTTTAAGGTACAACAGTAAGTTAAGATCTGAACAGGAGAGTATTGTAAAAGGCTTGTTCCTACAGTCTTGCATCCAGGTCCTCCAAACATTTACCGTATATAAGTACTCTTAATAATAGGAGTCACAGATTTGATTTCACCATAGTTACACACAAAAATTAGCTCTTTGTCTTTAGAATCAGGCCTTTACTGTGAGCAGGAAGCCTTGAAAGGAGAGGGATTTGGGGGGGTGGGTGTTGAAATCTGCTGTTAAGAAGTGCTGAGGAAGTGTTTAACACAAGTGTTTGATGTAAACAGACCACAGCCCCTTTCTTCTGTCACCCTCATGAAAAACGTTTACGGCTTTTCTGTTCCTGGGGCAGAGTAAATAAATGCACATAAACCAAAAAGGGTAGCTATACAGAAAGCTAAAAGCATGCCTTAAGAACTGTTTGAAACCAAATCCTTTTCATCCAAAAGCTTTCTAATTTGTTCCTGAAAGTTACCGTGCAGAAGAGTTAACTGGTTTTTAAGTAGTCATTTACTTTGTTGACGTTTCCTGTTTTTTTAGCAGGACAAGCAACTAACTAAAACACAGTCCTGGAAAGCAGTGAGCTTTTTTTGTATCTCTAAGTCTTTTTATTTGTTGAGTCATGAGAGTGCACAATCAGTAAGCCCGAGTTAAGCCGTCGCTGCAGAACAATTTAGAACAAAGTTGTGCTGCAGTGGTAAAAAAATTTGCTTATTTTTGATAGGTCAGGTGCAAAAATCTGTGCTTTTTTATTCACAAATTAAATAGCAAATGTAAAAAACAGGAAAACCAAGTTAAAAACAGAGTAAAAATTACAGGCTAGATCCTTATGCATGCATCAGTACTTTCAGTGTAACTGAAGAAGAGTCACATGTGAGCGATCCAGGAACAGGTATTGCCTCCTCTGGCTGCTGCTCGTGATATTTGCTAAGCCAGGGTGTGGTGGCATGAAGCCAAAAATGCCCGTTTTTCACCACCTCAGTATATCTCAGTCAGTGGGGAATCCTCAGGTTATTTATTAAGAGAGATCTCACCTTTCTTTATTCAGTTAATGCCAAAGGGGTGGAGTGAGGAGCTGAACATACCATGTTCTTTAACACAGTGTGTCCCAAGGGCTTCCCCTGTATGCATAGGCGGTACCTGAGTTAACGTTTCTGTAGTTTTTATTCAGAATGAATGTTTCACTTTGTGGCAGTAACTATATAATGCTATGAGAATCCATCATGTAAACCATAAACCACCAACTCCATAACTTTCATACAAATTCAGAAGTTAGTTTATTATGTGGCATACAAAGGCAGTTCTGTTTTAGACACAGTATGTCCTCTTAGCTAGAGATGATGGTCTGCCAAGAAATGATTTAAAAAGAAAGATGCACGTGGCACTCTGGAGATGAGTAGGAGTCCTATAAAATGCATAACTTAGTTAGCTTGAAATCTTTTAACACAATCAAAAATAACTCTTCACTTTCTGTGTAAACCATGAAGAGAGTGTATGCACGTGTTTAACTGTTGCAAACCTGAATGCTGCTACCACGGTAAGATTTTTGCGCATCAAAACATCACACAAAAATGTCTGTCCTGGCATTCCTCAAAGCCAGCCAAAGAAGTGCTTTATATGGAAGGCATGGGGTGGTATTGCAGCACAAATTCACGGATCTCATCCGTTCCCCAAGTTACCTGCGGGAAAGCCTTGATCTAGCTAATAGGACCTATCCATCCATATGCGTGCAGCAGCCCCTGCTCCTGGCAGAAACGCTCCCTGCTGGAGACAAAACACCCCAGGGCAACTGCAGAGTTCAGATTCCCGTTTTAATGACAGTTTAGATTATCTAAATATCATTTTCATACAATTGAGAAGTTAGTTTATCATACAAAGATAGTTTTGTTTTGGACACAGTGTCCAGAGGATGGTCTGCCTAGAAATGGCAGGGGAAACCAGAGGAACTGGTTAAGTTTACCAGGGGAAACTGGAAAGTGGTGATAGAATATTACTTCCTCTCAAAACCAGTTTATTATACTGTGTCATTATTGAGTCACAGTAATGATTTTGAGCCAATTTAGAAGCAGAGACGTTGCTTTCTTCTAAATCTCTGTTGCAGACTGGAATCAGAAAGAAGTAAGGGAACATTTTCAAGAGGCATTTCCATGAATGTTTATCATTTTAAGCAGATAATTTTAATGAGTAAACTTCTAGAACCTATTAGAAACAAAGTTACACTAATGGAAACTTTTTGATGGGGATAAAAGCAAAAATCAGATGAGCAAATAGATTCCTTTATTGCCTGAGTGTCATTTACTTTGCTGCTGTAGACATCTCGGAATAAGGCCGAGCTGTACATGGAATTGGTGTTGGTGAGTCTCTTTACCATCAGTAGCATCATCTCCGCTTGGGGAATTACAGCTGTAGTACTAATATAAACAGTAAAACTGATCACACCACAGCTTTAGATCCTATCCTACTCTTACTGAAGTCTAGGGCTGCATTGCTGTTGTCTTCAGGAGCAGCAGGAACAAGCCCAACTGAATTATTTGGCATGAAATTTTTTCTTTAGCTGCATACCTGCTGAGCTAAGTAAGAAAATCAAAAGCCCTGATAGGTAATCCATAAATCTTCACAGTTCAACAATGCTGATTTTTGCACTGTCTGCTAGTGATATATTAGCTAAAGAATGTTTCCTCCTTCAGCTCTATCATACAAAAGATTTTGCATGGTTCTTGCAAGGTTCTGGCTTCAATTTCTTGTTTTCCTAGTTATCTTTTAAATTTGAAACCTTAAGGCCACACCTAATGTTGTGTTACTCTGTTATTTCTTTAAGCAGCAATCCTAAAGTCACTTGTTTTTACACGCTATTTATTACTTTTCAAAAGAGTACGTAGAAAGGATATTTTTAGGCAACTGTGTGCTGCCATTAGCAGAGTTTCAGACAAAAATATATTTTTGCCTTTTTTGTGGCAAGAGCATGAATGCAACATATGTATCTTTGGAGCCTGTAACAACATGGAAATGTCTGTAAATGATGCCTCATAGATTTCTAGTGTATATAAGGAATATATTTCATAACACTGTTCATTATTTGCAGTAAAATTTGCTTGTTTGTTTGGGGGTCGTGGACCAGGCCGTGCCGAATGCCACGCATTAGCCCATGCCAGGAAATCCATGGTGCAGCGCGAGAGCCTGCGACGGGAGTGAGCTCGCCTCTGCCAGCCCATGGAGCTGTTGTCTTCAGAGCGGCTCTGTGCTGAGCCTCCCTCGCTTGTGGCTCTTGCTGCCTGGCCCAGCAAAGCACCTACGCGCATAGTGAGGGAGAAGTTATTTCTGGCTTTAGTTACCACAGGTTGCATGAGGGGACCTATTTTGGCGAGCGTACAAACAAACTTAATGTTGACTTTCCAAAGTATATGTGCTCCCATTTGAAGCTGGATTCTACTTCCAGCAGAAGAACGCTTTTGAATTTAAGGGTAGTAATGTCAGGCTTTTGACAAGGAACATTATTTTGTCTGTCATTTGACACGACACAGTACAAAATTTATTACCCATTACATGCATGCAAATAAAGTCATTTTTCTGTGATACTAGTTAAAGTGTCACTTCTCATTGTACATGTTTTTCATTATTTCTTAGCATTGGACTACATCCTTTTCAGCAGAAGCAAGTGAAACTTTTTTTTTTTAATTCCCTGTGATAGAGCTCCTGAATAGGAGAATAATTCCCTCTTACGTTTTCTTTGTATTAGCGTGTACGTGTATGGCTTTTTACTTCAATTTGTCTCATTTTTGGAAAAAAACTGGAAAAAAAAAGAATATATAACCCAAAATACTCTCTAAAATATGACAGCTGAAAAAAAGCTTCTCCTTGACCAGCAGAAATAACGGTCCCAGGTTTTCTATGAGTTATTGTCCCAAATGCCCTGCACGTCTTACTGCAATAACTTTCCCAATAAAACATCCTCTAAATCATTCTCTGTTCACAGCCGTATAGTCCTCAGTACTCTTCAGTGCTTCTAGCCGCTGGCAGCAGGTAGACAAGATGATAAAACAACTTTTTTTTTCCTAGGAAACCACACTAAAAATGATCAACAGACACTTCCTTATTTTGAGCAAGGATGCTGATTAATATAACCAGCATTGCCAATCCCATTTGGCAATAGCTATTGTTTAAATATCATCAACAAAGCATCTTGTAAACGAGCCTGTAAGAGGAAGCAGTGTAGGCATGTTGCCATTATTTCACTGCAGGCTGTTAGGAGTCAGGAGATAAATTTATCAGATTTTTGCATTTATTTCATCTGGAAAGATCAATTTGGTATGATAATCAATGAACAAGAATCAACAAGAATTGTGTATTTCCAGTCTCCCTCCAGATTGCAGTTCTGTTCGTTCTGCCATTGAAAAATGAGAATGACTTTTTAATTTAAGTTATGAAGATTTGTCTCCAGCTTTGTCTTAGTAAACTGAGAGTTGGCAGTAGTAGTCAAAAAGGTCTTTTAGGAGGAAATAAAAAAAGGATAACTGTAGTTCAATAACGGAAGAAGCAGTCCTTCGATACTGTTTGCTTTTTTGTTGTTTCCATTAATCTTCTTCCTATGACTTGCTGCTACTAAACACAACAGGATCTTCTTAGTATTAAAAATGTGATTTTTTTTTAATATGAATGTAAAGGAACACTGTAGATGTAGTCAAAATTATTAGGTTTTAGAAATTATAAACACCAACTTGTGCTTTGAGTTGTTTATCAGAATTAAGATATGTTTGTGGTACTGTTGATATCTGGCATTTATTCTGCTCAAGCTAAAAAAGCTGTGTAAGCTTTTTGCTAGAGGATATTTCTTAAATATTACTGTTACCATGGATAATGCAAGTTGACAGGATCTATAGTTGAGGGGCAAGTCATATGGAGTCTGCAGTCAAGGGATATATTTTGGCAGGCAGAGGACAGGTTGGAAGTACTTCAGCAGAAGGGTAAAGTTTTACTGCTTTCAAATACAGGTTGTTGCCAGGCTTGTACACACACACACAGAAAGGTATCTCCAGACCAGCAAATTGTCTTTGAAGTATGGTGTAATAAAAAATGGGTCATTGTAGTTGCAAACTGTTAAAAATGACGTCAGATGTTACAGCAAAAATCTCTCCAGAAGCCTCCTCTAAGATATATATGTGTGTGCCTGCGTGTGAGTGGAGAAAAATTCTGCCTAAAGAAGCAGAAGCACTGATGGCAGTGTTTAATTTCAAGCCCATAACAAGAACGATTTCTAGACTCTGTGAACTGTTCGTAAAGCCCGATAGAGTGCAACCTATTTTTAAATAATGTTCACACACAGTTCAGCTACAGTTCCACAGTCTGGCAAATCTATGTTAGAATTTTTTTTGTTGGTCTGTGTCTGAACATTGTTCTGCAACTCTTTTTGAACTTTGGTACGGATGGGAAGCTGAGCTGGAGCCAAAGACACCTGGTTTTCCCTTTTTAATCATGGAATCAGCTCTAGTGAAAGGAATTGAAAATTGTAGCCTCCAGTGATGTTGGGAGCCTGTTAGGGAAGTGTGGTGGAGGGGTCTGTGTATTGTATCGTCAGCTGTTCATGCTGGAAGGTCTTTGCTGTTTTGCTCTATCAAAAGCAGTGACTTAGTCTGCAGGGACTGCAATCTCACATGTTCAGAGCAGCCTGAGCTGGACACCACTGGCACATACGCTGGTCCAGACACAAGTCGTTTAGACACAGGTGAACTGAGCTTTCTGTCCCTGAGTTGCAAACTGCCTTCCCTAAAACAGTGCAAGTCTTCCCCATACTGCTGCTCGTCTTTAGAGTTCAGTTCGTTACTGAAATTTGCTCTTTGTTCTGCCTAGGTGATTATAGAGAAGAACTTAATGCAACAGGGCAAGCTGAGTGCTAACATTAGTCAAAGGCAGCTGGGTAGAGAAGCTCAGAGTAGCGGGGGAAAGTACAAGAAGAAGGTGGCTACTGTGTATAAGAAGGGATGGAAAGGAGCTGGGAAAACAATGAGGAATATGCAAATTCAAGGGAGAAAATGCAAAGAGGAAAGCCAAAACTGACAGGGCGAGCATCATGCCAAACTTTTCCTGTGAGGGCTTATGAAGCCAGCCTCCAGACAGCATGGAGCCAGTAATTAGTTAGCAGCTAAATGGGGGGGGAAATCCATGTTTAGAAGGTTGAAGGAAAGAGAAGCAATGCTGCAAGTATGGTACCGATGTCTAAAACTATTCCATGGAGCATAATAGCAACATACCTAGGAGAGAGTCCATCAGTTAGGATAGACTCTTAATGCAAGTGGATTCCTTTTAGCTAGTTTACACAACTGCAGAATAGCCTGATGTGTAATACTGGCACAGGATCACGGGTCGCAAGGAATGTTACGTCGTCCGAATGTTCGCGTCTGTGAGGTAGACTCATCAGGAGCCACTGGAAGTGCACGCACTGCTTTGTGGACAGTCAGTTATTTGGGGTACATTGTACTGATGTTACTAATGTTACAGGTTTTTAACTGCCTACTTTCTTTATTCCTTTAAGTCCTTAAGTGAGGAGATCCTATGCTTTGCAGAATTTCTCATGTCTGATTAATTTTAAGAATTGCATTGGATAACGTATTATGTCTGTGCTTAAAAAAACCAGCAGCCAAATCTTTGTGCAATCAAATTGAGGAAAGGTTGGGGAGAGATTGCTGATTATTCTTTAATATATTAATACAACCTTTCGGCATAATTATGGCTTCTAGTTTCATTCAATTAAGTGAACAAGTCCTGAGCATGCACAAAGAATTATATTAAACTTGCGGATAGATCTGAGGAGAAATTAAAGACAATGAAATAAGACCAGCTACTGCCAACAAGGAATTAAAACTGAAATATAATCAAAAATACAACCTGTCAGGCTTTTTTTTTTTAATCAGGCATCTTAAATGCTTCTTTCATTTTTCTCTCCCTTCTGCCCCTTCTTGCATGTTTGGCACAGTATTCTGTAGGGATTGACAGGAGATTATGTGCATTCTGCAGCTGCTGGAATTCTCCATCTCCCAGGGAGCTGCGAACAATGCCCGGCTGTGAATAGCTGGAGATAACGGCGCGGCGGGCAGGGGCCAGTACGGCGCTTCGGGGGTGGAGGGGTCTCGTCCTGCACGTACACCTCCGCTGGTGAAAGGCACTGCAGGGACTGTGCTGGCCAAGAGATTACTGCAAGGGACCTTGCGCAGCGATTTGGCTCTGCACAACGACCAGCGCCCATGCAGGATGCTGGTGCGGTCATGGGCGCCCAGGGGGCCTCGTGAAGGCTCACCGCTGGGAGCGCGTTGGCTACAGAAATCCTGCGTTCAGCCTGGGGAACGCGTGTGTCTTTTCAAGAACTTCCCAACCTCCAAGTTTCTCTTCTCCTATCCCCAATACTTATAGTAGCTCTTTGAATCTGGTGCCCCACTTGTGCATTTCTTCAATAAATGCTACTGATAGCTTACTTCGTTTTCTTCTCTGCTGCAAAGTGGTTGTGCTTAAACTCCTGGGCAGAACATGTGGCCCTTCAGATCTTGAAGTGCCTACAAAGAAAAAGAATTAATCCATTCGTTAGGATGGGGGAGAATGGAAACAATACATTTCTGCTACATTATTTCTGTATCTTGGTGTTTGCAAGGTTTATCATTTCTGATCTGTGGTCTCTCCCATTTATAAGTTTATCTGTCTAGAAGTAGCAGGTGACAAATAGAAATTTTACAGCTAAGACTACGTGGGCAAGGTTTCTTTATTATTAAAATGTAATAACTTGAAATAGATATAGACTTCTACATACCCATGGCATAGTGAGGTTAAAGAAGGGCAAGGTGATTCGTAACAGAGCATATGTTACCATCTTGGGTTTCATGATTGTTTCTAGGGTGAAGAGCACATAAGGGACAATGTTACTGTCCCTAAATAATGAGATGCTGTTCTGCCTCCATGAGGTAGGTTCCTTAGCCTTTTCAAATAAGATTTTAAGTAATGTGATGATGGCACAATAAAGTAAATGGAGGAGATAAAGCAGTGGAAGACTAAGGTCTCCCTTACCATCTAACCCAGTCAGTCAGCCAAAATTCCTGTTGCATAGCTTCAAGCTTACAAAACTTGGGAAAGTAGGGAAAGGCATGGAAAAATATTGATAAGAGGTTGTTAATGAGTGCTTGTTTGTCTAGTAACTGCAAAGTGATCTCGTCAGAGGGAAGGAGCTCCAGTCTTTCCCAGTAGCCACAGAAGAACAGAAATGATCTGGTATGAATTTTGTCATCACCAGACCTCTGGATAAATTTAGTGTACTGAAGGGGAGCTTAATATGGCAGCCTGCAGAACCTTAAGACATCTCCCCGGGGAAAAGGATTCACAAGGACAACATCGATAGCTGACAGCTTTTGACTGTTGACTGTTTATAAATGTTAATAATTGAGGAAGCTTGCAGGAAAAATCACAGTTTCACTTTTATATAAAACTTATGAGATGGAAATCCTTGAACATCATAGTTTTATAAACTGTGTAATGCTCCATTTTTCATATATCATACAACAAATCCTGAAGGAATGGGTAAGGTTATACTATGAAACTTTTGGCATTTGTCTCATGTAAATGTTTTCCCTCTTGGGGAAATTGAGAGAGGCATAAAAGGGGAGCCAGGGGAGGTTCAGCAAGCCCTCTGTAAAGGGGAGAAGGCTACTGTGTAAATTCCTTTCTTGGAGACAATAGTGTATTGCAGCAATTCAGAGTGCCCCAGTGTGGGGAAAGCAGGACTCCTTCCAGCTGCGAATTTAGTCATCTAGCAGGAAATTGCTTTCTCTTTATACTAAAACTTCCCATCAGCAATAACAAATATAACAGGAAGCTCTAAATAATTCCTAGCACCAATGCCTTCTTTTTCTTTTGCTTTCAAGGTGGGGTTTAGAGTGGGGAGTGGGAGGGGAGGGCATGCCTTCGATCCACTGCTGAACAGAAAGATCTTCAGAAAAATTTTCCTGAAGGTTCAGAGGAACAATTTATTGCTCTGGATTCACTCTGGAGAGAAACATTGCCATTAGTGTTGCATCACAGGAACTTTTCCAAGATCTTCCTTCTCCTGTTCCCCCAATAGAAAAGGCTCGTGCTGGAGAGCGTCCTGGGGAGGCTGCAGGTTCAGCGTGCAGAGCAAGCAACTCTTCAGGCGAAAGCGTGGAGACTTGTGGTCATGTTGCTCCAGCTGTTCGATACACTCCTCCGCTGCAACGCAGCGCCATATACATGCAGGGAACAAGCTGGCCTTAGATGATGTTACAATAATTTCCTTGCTGCCATAGTCAAAATTATAGTGTCTGAAGTATTTCTTCCAGGTATTCATCAACATGTGTGTGTGTCTTTCTTGCCACTAGCTGTAAACCTGGGTCAAGCCCGCAGAGTGGCAGAGAAAGGGTTAGTCAACAGTCTGAGGTCAGAAAGTCCCTGTTGAAGCAGCATGGAGCAGGCTGAGGAAAAGGCTGAAGATCTGGCAGGACGATGCTGAGCATATTCAGTGTCTCGGGAAAGGGATTGGCATCGGCGGTGGCTCAGAGCACATGAAGGTGTGGGGTTGCCAGTGGGTTTCCTGAATCTAAGGTGGTCAGTTTGTGGCTACGTGGCAGCCATGGGGAAACGTCAACGTGGAGGGCTGAGGAGTGGCCGAGATGAACGCAGACTGAGACCTGGGAACTGAGGCTGTATGCACCCTGCAAAATACAATATAGACAGAAAAATAAAAAAGGGAAGAATGTGAAATGGAGCAGGTAGAAACCTGGCAGTGTTAACATACTTTCCTACTGAAAGCAGTGCAGGGCAGGAACTTGTTTTCCCATAAATCTGCTAAGACTAATCTACAGTTAAGTGCCATGGACCCCTGGGACTGTAATTTGGTAGAATAAGCAGCGTTCCAGGGTTTCTTTCTGTTTTCTAGGCAAACCATTTTGCTAGTCTTTCCTGAATCCATCTACAGCACTGCTGTCCTTTATATGATCTAGTCACTTCCTCCCTTTGGTTTGACCTACTTTTGCGGTTATGAGAAGCCAGGTGATTAATAATGGCACATTTTGGGAGAAAATGGGAATAATCTTTCTGTCTTGAACTCTTGCTCACACATCACTATATTAGTAAGTCATGGATAAATAGATGTTGGGTACTTGATTTAGGCATTTTTCCATTTTCTACCACCTTCCGTTTCTCTTCAGGTTTTAAGTGCTGTCAGTTAGAAAATGCCAGCAGACTATGGGGATTGCCAGAAATTAATAATAATTAAAATTCCTTGCTATAAAAAGCAATGTACACTGTTTGAGCTGAAAGCATTGCAGCACCTTCCAGGAATTCCAGCATATTAAATTCTGCTGTGACATTTGACTTACAGCATGTTAATTTTTTTTTCTTCCTCAGTGCAGTGTAATGACAGTAGTTCCAGTTTCGTAAATAAGTTCCCACACAAATACTTCATGACATAGTGAGTAGGAGTCCACATAATCAAAAAGGAATGTTTCCCTCTTCTTCATGTTTCTTTAGAAACCTGTCTTCATCATAAGGCAGATTTAAACTGATGTCAAATTTTCTTTAAAAAGAGGTGCCCACCTACTCGAGCTACTAGATCTGCATTTAATTACCTATATTAATGTTCAGGTTCAGAAGTGCTGTATTGCTAATCATTCTGAATCTGTTCATCGATGAGCAGATTAAAAAAAAAAAAAGGAAAATCTTTTATAATATTCAACAGCATAATCCAGCTGCTGTAGTTGACTGAACCGGCTAATTCAGGGTGCTTTGGTGGCAACTGCTACCGCAAAACTGGCTTGACTAGTTCCCTAGAGATTCCCCACCTGACCTGTTGACACCAAACCAGCAGAGCCACCTTCAGCAGCGGGCTCCAGCTCAGGCTGGGATCCCTGTGGTGAGGAGGAGGAGGACGACTGACTCTGGCTCCGGTCTGTGTTTGAGTCTGTGCTCTGCTGAATCCCAGCCATGAAATGCTGGTAAGGTCCTTACAATCTAGTTATTGTAGGTTGTGCTGATCCTTCTCTAAGTGATTCCAAGAACTAAACTTTAGCAGCAAAAAAGGTCATTTAAATCCACTTCCCCCAACACAGGTATGTTGACACTAAAGCGCTACTGTAGCTATGAATTATTTTTGTATGCCCAGGGCTCTGCAGGCAGTATCTGCATCACCAGATTAACAGAAGAGCAACTCTCTTTAGTTTATCCCTCATGTATAGGAGAAGACGACTGTCCCTTTTCAGTGATCTGCGTTCAGTTAATGAGCGCTTCTTTTCTGTTTGTACAAAATTGCTGATACTTGGATAGGAGCTTTGTGCAGAGAGTGCTGCTGGAGCAAAGACGGTGCAGCTGTTAGACGGCGCCCTTGCGGGGTCCCTGTTGCATGGGGGACAGCGTCCCACCCCACAGCGGCCCTCCGTGGCCGCAGAGCCGCAGCCCTGGCCAGCTGGGACCTGCTTGGCGCTTAGATGCTAGCACGTTTCCCAAACAAGATCAACTATTCTGATGTCCGGCTGCTATTCTTGCACCAAGGCACAGCGGAGCTGTGTCAGACTCACTGAAGGGAATGTATTGCCCTTCTGGATTTAAACTGTAATTTGATTATAATTTAGTGTCTTAATGATGCCGGACACTCATTCACTTTCTATGTTTTAGGTGTTTTGTGTGTTTCACGTGCACTCTAAAGCACTTCTCTTATCATCTCTCAGGAAAATGTTTTAATCCCTATCTTCAGTGGGGGAAGTACAGTATTGCGGTTATTGAGGTTGAGCTGGGTTGCATGAGGAGCTGGAGCTGGAGCGTGCTGAGTGTGTTGCGGATTGTTCTCTTTGTCTGCCCAGGACACCGACACCTGCAACTTGAGCATCTGAATTTCAGGGTTAGGAGTCTAAAGAAGAGATTAAATTTTGAAGTTTTGCATTGAAATGAAATTTGTTTAGAAGCAAACATAAAATGTTTAAAGAAGATAGATATTCATGTGTCATAAATGTTTAATTGTGGTACCAGTGGTAACTTTTTTTGTTGTTGTTATTGCTGAAATTTCTGCATAAAACATTGAATAATTAGAGGCTAAAAACTAGCGAGATATCACTTTTCACCCTGTATTCTCTTAACATCCAAAACCATATAACTTTTCTTGGGTCCATTATAACCTATGTGTCTGCATAACCCTTGTCTCCATTATTAATTTCTTAAATTGAAAGCTACTTTCTTATATTTTGTAATAATTATAAGACAATAATAAAGTGTGTAAGTATTTAGCCCAAGGTAAGGAGAAAGAGAATGGAAAACAAAGACAGAAGGGTCATTCTCAGCAATTAGACACCTTCTTTCTCCAGTAACAAAGTAATTGTCAATTATACAAGTGAATTCAGACCAATGGTAACAGTATTTTCAGTGTCTTGGTCACGCTACAAACAACCTTTTGAGTTATTTTCCTTGGGAATCTCCTTTGTAATTCTGTCATACTATAGACGATCATACTTAATGGAAGTTCTGGCATTTTCAGATGCTAGCTAACATGTCGGTATTTTTTCTACTTTTCTACTTTTTGTGAATGGATATGTGCTTTGTATATAGAACTAACACGGAAACATGCTAATGTTTCTTCTGTTTTGTCTGCTCAGCTTTGAACACTACACAGTGTGCTATAAGGTGCTGTGACATATCAATTACTTATAAATGACTTATGTGGTTCTGGTATTACAGTAGGAGTCATCTGGAAAATACAATGACCATCTGCAGCGTGGAAGTCTGGAAACACTGTAATACCATATGTAGCATCCTTTCTGTCCACATGGCAGTGAAATCAGTCTGCAGAACAGCACTATTTGACTCGAGCTTCGTCTTTCTCCAAAAAGACGGCTATAAAACGATTCAGGCTGATGACAGAGACAGATAGGTTTTAATAGTGTCTCCAGTATATGTCAGAAAGTATCCTTACAGTACCTGGTCTGATATTTTATAGGAACTGTTTAGATGTAGAAAAAATAAGAATATTAGCATTATTTTTAGGAAAGAGTAGTGTAGTCGTGAACAGAGTGGAGGTTCCAGTGGTCTGGGCAACAGCTGAGTTTCTCCTCAGACTGCAGCGTCTCCAGGAGCAGCAGAGGCACACCGCGATGTGAGGAGCCTGGCGTTCGCAGCACAGCACCCCGCTGCCGTCCGGCCCCTCCTGTGCTTTGGCAGTGTCTTCGCCTCTGTACGCGTCTAACTTGCGGTTCCTTGTTGCGGTTCTGAGTGCAAATGTTATGGCCCTTTTTGTCTCTCGCAGTTACTCAGTTGAAGAAATCCACTGCTTTACCGCGGTGCAGGGCTTGCTGCTGAAGCTGTTGATTCCAGTTTTCACTTAGCTCAGCTGAGATTCTAGTTGAGCTAACGTTGAGTTAAACTCATCTTCCCGCCTGCTGCTGCGACATGGAGAGTTTCAGGGCCTCACAAGAGGCCAGGAGAGAATTCCCCTGCGCGCTCGATGTCGGGAGCCCCTGCTCTGCCCCTGCAGCTCCTGCCACGGGCGGCCCATGGGGGACATGCTGACAGACGCTCGGAGCGCTCTGCTGATTCACACAAACAACTGCACTGACCCTCAGCATACGCAGAGCTCAGGCAATACAGATACGGCTTAAAGCCATTTTCCCCTTCCCCTGGGCTGCACCTTCCATGAGAAAGGAAGCACAGTATCTGCCCAAGGAAATGCAGACAGAGAAAAGCTTTATTGTAGTTACTCAGGCTCACCTAGTGAATCGGGGCTTGAAACGGAAGGACAGCTTTGAAATTCTGGGATTGTACTCCTGCGCTCGGTTCACAGCTCTCCCTGAGTTTTCTACCCAACTCCTGTTGCGCTCTCATTATTATTACAGCGCATGAATAACCAGCTGCTGCCTCTTACCTTTATTCCCAGCTATTAGTTCCTTTAAAAGACAACTAAGAACGTGTTATATCGTATGCTGATAGTTTTCTCCATTCAGATAATTGCTGCGGTTACCACGCTGCCCAAATTGGGAAGAGGGATGTTGCCACGAGAAGGGAGGCTTCTCCCAGAGGGCAGTGAGGAAGGGCGTACGGCCGGGGGCCAGCCCCATTCACATGAGATCTTACTGTGTGTAAGGTGCTAGTCGCTATGAAAAAAATGACAGATCTCATTCCTGTGAAAAAGCCTAGGGACCCCTGGTTTAGAATAGACGTTATTTTTATATCGATGCCTTCCTAAAATATCTTTGTTTTGCTCTGGGATTATTGCCAAAAGTATGTTTTTGCAACATTTTGTAAGTGTACCTGCATCCTTAGATAACATTATTCTTGCTGTCGCTCAAAATCATTTACAGAAAGAAACAGAAAAAAAGAGAAATAAACTCTTAACAAAGTAAGGGCAGGAAGTTTCCTAGCAAGACAAAAGGAAGATGAGTGAAAGAGGCTGCGTTTGGAAGATGTACAAATTAGTACCTTGCCAAATTCATCTAGCGTATAGTTTTGTTACGGTGGAGAAGAAAAATGTGGTCAAAGTGCTAATCTTTAGATCAGGTGAACAGAGAAGTTTACAGGCCTCACTTAAAATTAGGACATGATGCAGTAGGTTAAAGGCAGCGAGCAAGCAAGTCGCAGACTGCTGAAGCAGCACAAAGGAGTCGGCAATTCCTGTCTGGGCAGCAGGGGAAACAGCGCAAAGAACAGGACTGAAAATGCAGATTGAGCAGATGAG